CAACCAATATTTAATCAAAACACTAAAGTTTGATCTGTTGTCTAATGGCATTTAATGTTTCTTTCTTTTTTTTTTTTGCAACTATTAGGATTGGGGGGAAAAAGAAAAGAAAAAAAAAAACAAATTCTATTTTATATGGTTACCAAAGAAAAAAACAAATTTTTTCTGTTGTGTAAACTACAGATGAACTGATTCTGTCTGAAGCATATTTTTTAATAATAAAAAAAAAAAAAACAAATCATAACAATTCTACAACATTCCAGAGGCTTATTCGACGTCTGTTCATGTACCGCCATCTGTAAACATCTGTAGTTGAACTATGTTAGAGCAGTAATATTGTTCAATCAGAAACATTTAAAGCCAGAGGAAAGAAGAAGGAAAATAAAAAAATATTATCTTAACTAAAACCAGTTTTTTTTTTCTTTTGAAGGGGGGGGGGGTTCACATTACTCTATCGTCTGTCTTTATTGATATGACCTTCTAGTAGTTTTTTTTTGCTTGAGCTATTGTAGCATTTTTATTGTTTCTGGTTTGGTCTGTAGTATCAGTTGAACTATACGTTGATCTTTGATATATTTGTCTATTGTCTACAGTGAAAATTTGGTTAACATAAAATGAATTTTCATCAGTGTAAAGATTCTTTTTTTTTTTCTGCTTTTTGCTGTTATTCTGTAATTTTTAATCCTTTTTGCAGTTGTCACTAATTTTTAAAGAACAAAATTTTAATACCCAAATAAATGACTGCATAAAGCATTGCTAAATAAAGAAATAATGAATTACCTGAACCATATGCTTATAAGAAATTTCACATACAGATGAGGTTTAACAGAAAAAGAAAATACAAGTTATCTAATGAACATAAATTATATCTGTCTAAAATAGTCAAAGTTTTAAATTCAATTTTAAGTGCTTAAATGTTTCTTTTTTTTTTTTAAGCTTTTTTTCAATCAAACATTTATACATTTTTCAGGTATACGAGTATTATCATTTATTTTATTAGGTTGACTAACCACTAGTGTAGTCAGCGGTAACCTATTTAGCATCAGTAATAACATTATAATAGGCAGCAAATGATGTATAATGCACAATAGCTGTTATTGTTAAATAACTCAAAAACTCAAAAAAGTGGTTTGTTTCAATTATTCTTTCGTAATTTCTCATTAATTTTTTCTTTTCAGATAATAAAGAAAAAAGCATTTGCATTTTATTAACAGTCAAATTATATCTGTTATAGGTTATTTTGTTTTTTACAAATTAACCACTTTTTCTTCTTTGTCTTTTCAATTTACAATTGTAGACAAGTACTATAATAAACCATTCAGAAGATATTAATCACTTTTTGTTTACCATTTTTTTTCATCTTCTTTTTTTGATAATCATATCAATCGGTATTTCTGAATGTGCATATGTTATTTGTTTGGATGTATGTATAGACTCCAGTTTTAGACAAATAATGATTTTTTTTAATGATATAGCATCAATGATTAAATCTGTGAATAGTATGGGTTATTGAACAACGGAAGTCACCAAAAACATTATCGATGATGATTGAGCATCAAAATTTTTATGCTTAGTGATCGTTGAACAAATTGCTGGTATTACATCACCAATAATTGGAATTCAGATGCTGCTGCTATTATCAGTGTTCTTCTTCTTCTTCTTGCTGGTTCCTACTTGCTGGATGTACTTTGATCATGGATTTTTGCACTTTTTATGTCTTAACCAATTTATTTTGTAGTTTTCTTGAGCTTTTTTTTTCTACTTCTACTGTTACATCTTTGAACAAGAAAGTTAGGTGGCAATTAAACAGAACAAACGTATACCATCTCTCGTGCACCAAACGAATAGAAAAAAAGCAGATGAGAGAAAATTTTTGCTTAATGATAAAACGACACTGTAGTTTATGCATATTGTCTATAATCGGTGGAAGAAGCAAAAAACATATATCAAATATAAAGAAAAGAAAAAATTCTTTATAATTATTTTCAATTTTTTGTTTTAATTTATTTTCTTCTGTTGTTTTATTTGGTAATCATGTAAAAAGATTGGTCGTAAAATTTTCTGGCTTTTAAAAATTATAAAAAAATCTTTTTTTTTTTTCTGACAACCGATTGGAAAATAGTGCTCCATTAATTTTTGATCATTTCTTTTAGACTGATGCAAAGAACAAAGGGAAGAACGATTTACTGGTGTATTTGCATGTATCAGTCAGAAGCTGTGTATTTGTCTGTATCGGTTTGGTATCTGTGTGTTGGTTTTTATTTGTCGTTGTTGTGAATGTATAAATGTATGTAGCCACATAAACCACAGAGATATATATTTATATTTGTTTAAGTTGCTAACAACAAGAAAAAAATAATAAAGCAGAAAAGAGCTAAAGTTTTTTTTTTT